AATCATTATATAAATAGGCAACAAACACAAAACGGATCAACTCCTTTTTCTCTTCTATTATTTAACCGATTTCCTTCATATTTTTTTTGTTTAATAGATATTGATGAGCTTTAGTGTTATCAATAAAGAAAAATATGAAATAGTTTGTAAATAAAAATATAAATGGTAGTTTGTTCAAAACAGCTAATCTCCGAAAGTTCTTCGCCGATTTCTTTGAAATTTTAACACAACGTCACAATAATATTTAGAAATGTTTTATGTATACGTTTCATTATCATCAGACCTTTCCTTTCGAAATGGCGGCCGAAAAACCTAATTCGCTTTAGACTGTAGCGCCAACACGGCTTTAACGATTATAATAAAACTTGGCTAAAGTCTTTCCCTTGAAACATTTATAATTTATGTATATAACATACTTTCCCGAAAACAAGCTGCATAAATGTGTACGGTGAATTCAGTATTTTATTTGCGAATAACTCAAAAAGTACACATTTTTTTATCGATAATACCAATATTTATTTTAAAGCTTCCTGAATTCACTTAAAAAAAAAAAAAAAAAACCCATCGAAATCGGACTATTTGTTGCAGAGATATATCATTTTAAACATTTAGTACTTTTTCGATTTAGTACATAAAGTCGATTTCCTTTATTTTGGTTTATGATAAATCAAAACTTTACATTTAATGAAGTAATCGGGACTATTATTGGAGAGATAATATCATTGAATGTTACCTCATAAATTAAATTTAAAAATAAATTCTATAGTCATACACATTCTTAACTTAAATACTGCACAAGCATTAGTTAATGGGACACGAATGAGAGTGAAGTGCTTACGGGAGCTACTTTATTAGTAATAAAAGAATTTTAATTCCAAGAATTAATTTAATATTTTCTGACACAATACTTCCATTCGACTTTTAAAGAACAACGTTCTTATTAATCGCTGCATTTGCTATAATATAACCATAATCAAATCGGAGGGTCAAAATTTTGGAAAAAAAATATTATTAATGCGGCGTCCAGTAATTTCGCTTGGACACTTATATGTGCCAGCAAATAGAGCAAGTTCGTTTAAAATTTTGAAGTTTATATTTCCAATGGCAATGGGCAAGGCTATTTACTAAACAATAACAGAACATTAAAAAAGAACATTGTTTACAGAGAAGTTCTGCATAAAAATGAATTTAAAATCAGTTGAAATTGGTAATTTAAATTTATTTGTTACTTGTTTAATCATAACATTAATTTATTGCGATAATAACACACCTAAATTAAAATGGCAATTAAATATTTTGAATGAGTCTATTTTGTATTACTTATAAATAATTTCAAGTAGTTTAAGCTCGATTTTTAATTGAAATTGAAATTTTGTTTATATTAATAAATGTGGATTTTTGAATCGTGATTTACTCATTATTTATTGAATTTATTTTTTATTTAATTATGTTTTCCTCAAATTTTTAATGGCTATGGTCGAATTTTGAATGGCGAAAACTAGTATATATATAAATAGGTGAAACGATATTGATAGGATTAATTCACAGATTCATCCATTACCGGAAACAAACCCGGTTAAACATAAAAATTTACTTCAACATGTTGTTTTTGTGAATGTTTTTATGTGTTTACCAGTATAAATCCATATTTATACATAACAGTTTTAAAAGAAAATTAGTACAACTAAAAAAATCAACAATTTTCCAAATTAGTGTTTTGATAACAAACGAGATGATTATACTTAAGTGTTATTTTTACATTTTTCTTTGTTTATTTTTTTTTTTTAGATTTTAAGGTTTAACTGGTAACTTTTTAATTGATGATAATTATCACTCCATTAAAAATACTGAAGAGAAGAAAATACAGGTTGAAAATTGGGATTAGTGACTATTAAGTTAATTATATCAATGATTTTTTTATATTCACCACGGTTTTTAAATGCGAGATACAAAATCTTCTCAAATCGCGTTCCAATCAAATTCACACACACATTTATTCGATGAAGCAAATTTAATGGTTGTAACTAACCTTATTTTTTTAGTGAAAAATTTAATGCATTTAAATTTAATTTGTAATGCTTTAATAATTTTTTTATGATTTAATATACCTACTTTGGATAGTAACTGTTAAAACCGGCACCTCCTGTCATATTCAAAGTACAAGAAGTTGTCAACCCTAATAAAAACAAAAATATCGAGGGTTTCGTTGACCTAGTTAGGGGTCAGGGGTTATATGACAGGACAACTAACAGTATTTATTGGCAGTATTTGACACATGTAGGAAACTTGTTACCTGGTTGCCTGAAAATAGTTTCCTTTGTATAAACGATCCTTTTAGTTTTATTATGTGCCCGAACAGGTAGATAGTTTCGATGAACTGGATGTTGTCAGGTATCAGCAAGTCCAAAAAGGCTTTGTTGGCTTGTTTTGAATATATAAATATATATATATATATATATATATATATATATATATATATATATATATATATATATATATATATATATTAAAATAACTTTATAAGTATATCTACATTATATTTTGAAAATATTTCATTAATCTGTGTATTAAAATTTCTCGTTCAATGTCGTTACATTTTTGTTTTCTCGTGCGAAACTTATTACATAAATGAGTAGACGTTGGTAGTATAGTGGTTGGTTTAGAAAAAATTTCTGGTCTATTAAATACTCGCTTTACAGAATTGTCAGATGAGGTAAATAACATTTTATAGAGTGTTCTCACCCCGTTCAATTACAATTACTTAATTTTTTTTTTTTTTTTTTATGAAAATGTAAATATCAGTATAAGGAATATTAGTTGTTCACTTGATACAAGAAGCATGTTGTATTCACCTAGCGGTGAATCTCAACTTAATCATAAACAAACCTCAACATGATTAATATTGACTTAAATCTTATTAAATGAGGAAGGTTTTGTTGATAAAAGAAAATCACAAAAAATCAATAATTTTATGAAAAAACAGAACATAGCAAAGTTTAGCGGCTTAAAAATCCGAGTTAAAATTATTTTAAAAAGTTATTATGAAGTAATTGTTAATTACTTCAATTGAATATTTTTTAGTTATCGCTTCCTTTTCAACCAAAACTATGACACTTAAAAACACAAAAGTTAAATTTTCTACTTTTCTTCGAAACATTGCACCATTGTTTATATAAACTTATTTGTAGCTCTTGAAGTTACTGATAATCCTTTAAATATATCACTTTATTTATTGGACATTCTGTATATGAAATTACAAATTTTATTAAAAATTAAGTAACAATAAAATGATTTTCAAGCCATTAAGAAAAGAGAGTAAATGATTTGTTTATGAATGAACTTCTTTCTAACGATTATAAGCTTTTATAGATCATAAAATGTTTACTTACTTCTTTATTGTGTTGCCATCACTGTGAGTTTAATAAACTAGTAAGATTTATTGACAGCGGCGCAAAAAATGCACCCATGCGACAGATCGGGACACTGTGGATATGGGAGCGCAATGCATCGATATTTCAAGCAAATAATAATAAAAATGGTCTGTTAGGCATTATTTACTTATTTATTGTAAACATGATTATGATATGCTCATTAATGTTATGAGCGAGTTTAAAAAATGTTGATTGAAGTTATGTTGTATTTAAGAAATGAGTATGAAATTGGGTATATTTTTCTGGAAAGGACTCGCACGACAAACGCCCGCATAAGTGCGGTTACCCATAGTTACGCACTGATTATTGTAAAATCTACATGACTGCGTGAGTATAATTATTAATTTTTTTTAATATACACATGATATGGTAGTATTGAATTTTGAAGGAATGTATGTACAAACAATTATACATAATGAAATTTTTTAAAATCGACATGACTATTTTGAACCATTCATTTATATACTTGTTTGATTAATCATATATTGTAAATACCATCAGCCTGATTATATCAATTTTTATATCCACATTTTTAGTGTTATACCATCAACATTCCTTATTGTAAATAAGACTCTTATTGACAGAAAATAATTAATTTGTTCAAAAATATTTTCTATCATTTATGGTAAAATATGAGGTGTTTCTACTGAATGCGAGCCTATTTTCTTTGTAATCCATATCTTCAAATTCTAATTAACTAGCAAAATTAATATTCTAAATTTTGTGTACAACTTTAAAATATATTTTTTTTTCCCGCTAATTTTATTTTTAAAGCAATACAGGACTTCAATGGAAGTCTTGGGCCGACGATAGAAAAAAAAAATTAAATATGATACAATTACTTTTTTAAATTATACACACTTCGACTAATCTATAGCTAAATGAAATTGTCTAATAGTTTGTGGTACAGGGCTATTTTATCAAATTTATAACATTCGGCTGAAACTTCGTAAATAGCCTCATCTTATCGTAACCTCAAAATATTATATTTACGAAAATTCTCGGAATTGGGGCGTTTTCAATCTGGAAGTCGGCAGACTTTGTCTATTTAATTAGGTACTAAAAATTCGTAAATGCACATCTTCTATCCACTTCAATTGTAAGATAACTTGAACACAAAGTCGGGAATAAAGGTGGTCTCCAAAAATATTGAGCCGTTTGGCGTGATCAACATCCCCCAAAAAATAACGAGGTCCTATAGGCTAAACGGCTAAATATTTTTGAAGGCCACCTTTTTGCCGACTTTGTGATCAAGTTATCTTACGATTCAAGTGGAAAGAAGATTTGTATTTACAAGTTTTTAGTGCCTAATTAAATATACAAAGTTTGTCGATCTCCATATTGAAAACGCCCCAATTCCGACAATTTTAGTAAGTATAATATTTGTAGGTTACGATAAGATGAAGCTATTTACGAAGTTTAAGCCGGATGTCAATAATTTGATAAAAAGGGGTCTGTACTACGGAGTATAACTTTCATAACAATTTGTAATGGTGTAACCTACCATTTTAACACTCGGCAATGTTGTTGTAGAATTAAGAAAATTGATTTAGATTATGACCAACTTACCAACGCCAGCACATGATTCGAATGTTGCCACCAACTTAGCACCCCAAGTAGGATCCACCATTTTCATTATTTGGTTCTTCACCATAGTCATACTAATCTTTCCGTTCTTCACCTGAAGACGCACATAACTATAGTTCACTAACATTGGACAAAAATAAAAGAAAAAGAAAGAAAATATAATAACTTACAACTTGCATCATGTTCATAATACATCCTAAGTAGCACTGAAAAACAAACATGAAGATCCATCAATGTAAAAATATCTATGAAGACTTTAGTTTAAACAAATTTCAATTACCTTAAGCTTTCTGTCTTCGTCGTCGAATTGTCCTTCCTTCATACTCGCTAAAGCTTCTAAAATTGATACAAAATTATTTTTAAGTAAAAATATATAGTGATCATTAGCGTGGAGTACATTTTACGGAGTCAACTCAATTCTATTATTCTATTATGCTTTAAGATTTTAAGCAAAATCTTATTTTGCTAAAATGTTATTACTACTTGCCTTGGAAGGTCATTAAATGGTATGAAAAATATATTAATTAGTAGTAAATCCAAAAAACTTTAATATGGTTTTGGATTTTAAAAAAATACAAATACATAAAAAAAACAACAAATCTTCAGATTTGAGAAATGGCACATATATATTTTTTTTAATTGTTGTCTACTAGTAATAATTAACTAGTTAATAGTTAGTTTTAACTGAGATGTCTACATATAAAATAAGTATAACTATAGGTATTTTCAACCTAAAAATATGTTTTAAGACACTAATTAAATTTTAAGCTGTATTTTAATTTTTAATTGTGTTTTTTTTAACCCTCCTAGGCGTCTGAAAAGAAGATGGCCTCGAGATCTCCTTTTGTAAATACATTTTAAGAGTGCTACCAGTGGATAGTTTCTCAACAAATGGTTTCATGTTATTATATTCTTGTTTTCAAATTTCACACAGTTGTAAATATCATAAATAAAATTAAAAAAAAAAAAAAGTATTTTTATTTTTAAATGCGTTTTTATTTTTAATGTATTTTTATTATTAACGCATTTTGACTTTTACTGTATTTTTATTTTTAATGTATTTTTATTATTAATACAGTTGTAATTATAATAATTTTTTTTTTTTTAAATATTTCATAGGAAAGTGACTAATCCAAAATGACGAAGTTTGAATGGCCTATCTCCTGAAGTCAGTAATGCAAACCACATTATCTGTGGATATGGTCAAAATAAATCTAATTCTCTATTTTTAGCTGCATTTTAATAATAATACTTTCGAAGAATTTCATTTTCTAAAAATGAATACTTATTTTCTTTTTAATCTTAATTTGTCAAAAATTTCGAACATTTTTTACATCTTTGTGATTACCATACATTATCTTGATATTTGAATATTTTTAATTACCGATTAGATTTAATATTTTATTTTATATCTTGAATATTTTTCGTTATTATTAATCATTATGTTATTATTATTATTAATCATTCTTGCTTCTGGATTCTTGATTCTTGGATTCTGTCCAAATCTATATTTCAGACAGAATATTATCGAACATTCCAGAATAGAATTTTCCACATAGTAAAATGTAGGTCTAACAAACTCAAAAATAATGTTTGGTAAATATTATAAAATTTGCAAAAAAAAAGTAAAGTAATCAACAAGATGAAGAAGAGTTCGAAACTTCGTCGACAAATTAAGTTAAAAAAGAAAGGGAGCTAATTATTAGAAAATGAAGCGTGTAAAAAGCATTGAACTGAAATTAACATATACTTAGAAAAATAGACTTGAATTGTCAATAACAATTATGTCATAAAAAATTAAAAATAAGCAAACAAAAAATTTACAAACCTTTACTAACTCCACTCTTGGGCATGCACATATTTCGTAATGTTTTCATAGCACCTTTCATTTGCGCTTCTGACATGGCCTGGAAAATTGGACAATACCCTGAGTTAAAACAATAAAAAAGAAGAATAGTTGGGGTGGTCAGTCAAAAAAGAAGACAAAAATAAATGATAATATTTATTTTTACATATGCCGAAGTTTCGACCTGAAGTTCAGGCCTTCATCAGGGCTAAGAAAATAACCAGATAACAAGGTATGAGAAACATAAGTAGTGTGGGTAAAAAAAAAAATAATAATAAAAAAAAAATAAATAAATATAAAGTAAAATGAAATTGTTAGAATAATGACTAAGAACTAAGAGATAAATAATAATAACCGTTACAATTTTATGTTTTACATTTTATTCTAAGATTCCCATTGTAACACTTATGTCACCCTTTTTGATTATACCTACTTCATCATTCCACACTTTGTAACGGTTATTATTATTTATCTCTTATTTCTTAGTCATTTTTCTAACAATTTCACTTTACTTTATATTTCTTTATTTTATTTTTTATTTTTTTTTACCATAACTACTTATGTTTCTCATACCTTGTTATCTGGTTATTTTTTAGCCCTGATGAAGGCCTGAACTTCAGGTCGAAACGTCGGCATATGTAAAAATAAATATTATCATTTATTTTTGTCTTCTTTTTTGACTGACCACCCCAACTATTCTTCTCTTCATTATCCACGACAGTCAACCATTTACCAATTATAAAACAATAAAAATTTTATTAATAAAATCTTTGTCTTTTAACATGAGAAATAGGGATAATTACCTATTTAAAAAGTTATATGTACAATAATTTTTTTAAGATGTTATATTATTACCTATTAAGAACTGGTAGAAATTATAATACAATATATATGCGTGTGTGTGTGAACAATAAAATTTTAATAACGATTTTTAAAAAATAGTTACTCATTATTTTGATTAAATGAAGGTTTATTTCCGACGTTTGGGCTATCAAACACTAAAATGGTCAAAGGACAATTTTAATGAACTTTCAAAACTGTAACGAGCAGCAATTTAGCATCTAAATCATTGTTTAAATTTTATATTATTAATAAATATAAAATAACTTTTATATTACATTTAATATTTGATATTTTATTCTATAGATTCAATAAGTTGTATTTGTTCAAAAGTGCTAATTTCAGGAAATATTAGTCCTATTTCATAAATTATTTATGCGTAACATAATTATTTTCTTAAGAAAGGCGTTATATTATCAGGCTACGATCTACAGAAACAATAAACTTTATTTATTACCTATTTAAAAACGAAAAATAGAAAAGTATTTCTCTATTGTGCAAAAAAGTTTTTAGTGGTAACCCTGTAATATTTTATTTTACTTTTATTATTATTAAAAGTGAGAGAGGCCGTAACGAAGACACCACACTTCTAACTCCCAGAATTATTTCTCCCTAATTAAGGTTACAAATTGGCAATAAGAAAAATTATAATAATATAAATAAGCCAATAAGGCGCGAAGTATAGTATATATTCTGAAAGAAATAAAAATTTGTATGTGGTTTCGTTTCTTCTATTGAGTGGTATTATATTGATAAAAAATAATATAATATAATACACTTAAAAACTCTTGTTAATTAAAAAAAATTGAATTTATTTTTGCCCCCTTTTTATATCTAATAACGTTTCGTGCTATTTCACTCATTTTCAAGTCCTAGAATTGTCTTTAGTACTGTCTAAAATAATTTAAAATTCATTCAAATGTCTAAAAAAAAACGTTATCTTCTTCTTTATATTTGGTTCTATTAAAAATTACTGTCTTAGTTGACATTGGGCTGTTAAAATAAATTAACATAGGAATTTTAATAAAACCAAAGATAAAGAAGATGATCATGTTTTTTTATAAACATTTGAATGAATTTTAAATTATTTTAGGCGATTTAAAGACTTGAAAAAGGGCGGAGTGGCTTAAAACGATGTCACATGTAAAAATGAGACAAAAGCACATAAATTGTTTTTGAATTTTAAAGAGTTTCGAAGTGTTCCTCGGAGAAATATATTTATATTGGCAGATTATGCACTCTTGAAAATCTAATATTAATAATTTTATGTGAGTATTATTTTTCAAAAAGTGGGTCGATAATAATCTATATTCGCAAATAAAAAATTAATTAAATGAATAAAAAGTAATCATCGTCTCTCAACGTGACTAATATTTAATTAAATGTTGAGTAGTGCATTGGTGTAAGATCTGAAAGCTGTTTTTATAAGAGAGAATTGGTACTTTACTAGAAAGTCTTAGGATTCACTAGCAGTCCCTATTTCTGTCCAGCACATACTATTATGTTTAAACAAAAAATATAGCCAATCCATCTGAATGAATAAAAAATAAAAAAATAAATTTTTCGAACTATTATCTGATATTAAGTATTATTAACGATACAATTTCATTAAAAATGCTGCAGAACGAGCTAACGAAATTTGTTTCTCATTATTACAATCAAACTTCCAGATTTAATTTTCGTTTTTTCTCCTTATGTCCAATTGAGCTATATACCCGTCGCGTGTTTGACTGTTTTATCCACGGTTAATTGATGGTTCCTTATATAAATGAGGTTAGGGAGAAAACTATACTTATACCACAGAGATATTACTAAAAATTTCGTTCTCCTATACATGTCACGTAGCACTTTCTCACAAAATCACAATAGATGTTAATTTTCAACTTGCAGAGATGTGACACTCACAGCACTCGATTCCTGGACTAAAGCGCAAGCCATGATGAACACCAAGAAGATCACTAAGCTCCTCTCCATTGTGGAAGTACTCCAGATATCCGTAAATTCTGTTCCAAAGACAGAAGTAAGCTCAGTTATATAGTGCCAGAAAATTATAGAGTTGTTCCAAGGGCGGCTCTGAAGGCAGCAATCAGCCATAATCATCGGATGGCAGGGTCCACTTCTGGCAGATCATTTAGAGCAATTATAGGACTCAACGAATAATGGAAAATTGTCTCTTGCGGTCTTTGAAACTACACAAATCAAAGGTAGTTTACATAGATTGTACTGAACAATGCATAGCCAAACCGAAACAATCAAAACAAAAAGAAAATAATCACAATTACAACCGGATCTGATACTCGTAGGTGTTAATTTAAAAGCAGTAATTTGTCAATCATACGTCAGAATCACCTTATTTTTTACTGAGAAATCGTTACTACAAAAAAGTGGAATGATTTATTCAATATTTAAAATAGAAGAATGAAATGAATGTCTACGGTCACTTGTGTAATGAAAATAAGGCCATCACGATTTAACTTATTAAGGAATTCATGACACAAAATTTTCAGATAATTCTACGTTTCAAACCAATCAACAAGTAGGAGCTAAGAAAAAAGTCCCATAATGAGGGTTGGTATAGCTGTGTAACAGTATCCCTCTCCATTTCTACATTCAGACATGTATCCTATGTACTACTACAATTAACGTGAGGCAGGGCCGTCGCGTAGGTTTTCAGCGCCCGGGGCTACATCCCTAATAGCCTATGAATAGAGATGATAATAATAAAGCCTAAGGATACCTAAAGTGCGACACCCTCAATCGGTGTTTTTTTTTTTTTTTTGTTTTTTTGTTCTTCCCTACCTCGCTTTTTAGGCTATACTGGGTTTTCCCGGACCGGTAGCGAACTCACACTTTTTCAACTCGCGGTGCTGTGCACACCTACCTACTATTCGCTGCCTATATACTCCCATCCACCAGCCTCCGTCCAAACCTAACCAAGTAAGATCAGCCTTAACGCAATTCCATCTTTGGTTCGGTACACCGCTAAAACGCTTAGAAGTCTAGAATTCAAGTGGCAGAGATGGACAAAACTACTCTGAGTACCAAGTGCCTAGTATTTTACTCAAATCGCATCACTATTGCGAATTAATAAGTTGTGAGTTAATCGTTTGACATCAACTTAAGTAGTAATTAAATGCTTTGGTACTCAAAAAAGGTCAGTATTTGAGCAAAATACTTGGTATTCAGTGCTCAAAGTAGCATTTGTCCATCTCTTATAAGTGGCTACGCTTGTTTAGGTTTCTAAAGAATCGTAACATTTGCATTACTTTAGTCAATTTTTAAATTTCGGGATTAAAGGCAGCAGTGAATGTTACGAATATAACAATCCAAACTTTAATTTTAATCCAAACAACATACACGTATACTAGAGAGTCATGGGTTTATTTTGGATTGTTCCATTCATCATGTCTCCACCCTAAAACACTTAAACAACCTCCGACAACCTTTTTCCTTTTGAAATCCGTAGACTCCTGGTCACCTCCTTAATATTTCTCCACTTCGACTATTGCTGCACTGTATATGGAGGTGTCTCTGGGGATCTCGAGGCAAAACTAAAACGTTTGATAAATTGCTGTGTTCGATTCATCTTCGGGATCCCCAGGGACACCCCTATTTCCTGTTTCTATGAAGAGTTGAAATGGCTTTATCCTTCCAACCACCGTAAGTATTTCCTGGCATCCTTCCTCTTCCAAGTAATCCACTCCCGCAGTCCTTCATACATCTCCAAGCTCCTTCAATTTAAATCCTCTGTCCACTCCCGCAATACCCGTTCCCAGACTTCAGATTTATATGTAATGGCCCACCGAACCGCTGCTTTCGATAAATCTTTTATTATTCGTTCCTCATCCCTATGGGACTCCATTCCTCCGGACATATGTCGCTTCAAAACTCTCCCTACTTTTAAATCGTTCCTATCACTATCGATCAATCACTTTCTTTCTATCTAGTCCCTCTAAAATTGTAAATAGAAACTTCTGTAAATATATATATATAAGAGTAAATATTAGTTTATTTCCAATTATTTTCATCTCATTGTTCTTTCATTTTGTTATTAATCGATTTAATAAAGAAGAAAACTTTTTTTTTCTCTATTATATCCATTATTTGACTTTATAAATACATGCATATATATCTGAGGCTCAAAAGCCCACATTTCTGTCCTTGTTAATTATTCTAAAGGGATTCGTCCCAGAATAAATAAAAGATTGTTATTATTATTTGCATCTGCGGCAGATTTACACTCATTGTCAAACCACACTGCTCGAGCTTCTCCTCCAGTTGTTCTCGGAACTTTCTCAGCTCTTCTTGCAATAGCAGAAGAGCTTCTCTCCCATTACTCGTTCATGTCTTTTCTTATATGGCTCTCTATGAGCTTCTGGTCTAGTGTCAACACATATCTTTGTTGGACATCTGGATCATTTATTTTCTTCATATCATAGCGCTTCCCAGTGTGTTTATTCTAGCGATGACTGTTACTATGCTGTGAAAGTGGTCAAAGTCAACGTTAGCACTTATGAAACGTACATTTATTATTGACCTGATAAACCTTCCACTAACAAGAATGTGGTAAATCTGGTTAACCGACCTACCATCTGGCGATATCCAAGTCTCTTTATTAATGTCTTTGTGAGGAAACATAGTACCTGCAATGGCAAGATTCTTCGCTGCTTCGAAATTCACCAGGCGCCGCCCATTATCGTTGCGTTGGTCGCGAAGAATTTGTTCATATAGTACTCTGGACATGTGTCCAAGGATTCCTCTAACTGTGCCTAGAAAGCATCCTTGTCTTTTTCATCAGCGCCTTCTGTAGGAGCATGGACACTTACCGTGGTAATATTTCAAAATTTACCCCGAATTCTCAACTGCCAAATTCGAGGAATAATGGCTTTAAAGCCGATTACTAGGTTTTTATAGCGTTTTCTGACAACGAATCCATCCCCGAAACTATGAACAACTGCCGCTGTAATATACTGTGAAGTTTCTCTTCTGCAGTATGCAAAAACACATAGTTACTAAAGAATAAAGATATTCAAAATATTATATATCTTGCTGTTATAATCGAGGATCTTCACTTATGGTTGGAATCATGTCTGCAAAATGCTTTTCTATTCATTGAAAAATATTTGTTTATAAAATCCTGAATAATATTTTACCATTCATGAGGAAAAAACACATTTGCAACCCTTCAAGACTAGAACCTGGTTTTCGCCGTCTGGTTTGTCGCTTAAGCTGGTCCGAAATGTTTTCGATCTAATTAATATCTCGATTCAGGTTGGCAAATTCAAGCACCCACAGCCAGGCTTTTTGGTGTATTCATCCAAAATTTGAATTCTAAATGACTTGGTCTTACATTGTATTAACAAGAATCTTCAATTAATTTTATTCAGTAATAAACATTCTGCCAAAATATGGACAATATTGATAGTGCGCAACAATGACTACATTCGCACCATAAATCTTTCAATTAATATAATAAGTTTAAACTATATTTTTCCTTATAATTTAGATATCGAGTTCAATTTTCTATTGTTAAAATATTAGACATTACATTTTGTTTTGTTTATTTTTATGTCGTATATTGAAAAAAAAAGAAAAAGTTTTTGCTTGGTTTATTGTGTTCCTGATTAGAGATTAAATGAACAACAAATATTGTCAGTTATATTAATATGTTGAGACAAAATAAAAACAAGTAATATTGATTTTCTTTAAACGTAAACGACCATTGTTACAACATATGTAACTAGACGACAAACATCGACATTTGAATAAACAATAGCTAAGAAATCAACACATCTGATCATACGGAACATATCTTAGCAGCCGTCAGTAAAATCTCAACCGACGATGGAAGACATCGACGCGATTGAAGATGTGGAGGGAGATCCGCATGAAGATGAAGAGCAACTCAAGTACCGGATAGATACAGCTTTCAGCTACGTCAAAACCAGGAATTGCTTTGGCAGGCCGACCTCACACTTCAAAGCCATCGGCCCGGTCAGTGTTTTGGAAAAGAAGCCGGACATGGCTCTGAAACAGTCCTTCTTAAAAAGGTATCCTGTGCCACGGTCATGTCAGACCGACTTCGGTTACTCCATACACGATGTAAGTATACAACAGTATTAATATGTTACGTACTTAAAACATACAAATACTTGCGGCTGTAGTGCCCTTACTTACCCTCCGCTGGCTTTTAATACCAGTTAAGTGGTTGAAGGAGAAGCACAGGGATCTTCTGAAGCCTCGCTTTCCCTTCCACACGAGGTTGTGGACAAGACTGATTCAGTGTTCCCTGGCTGATCGTAAATAGACTATAGGGGTGAGGTAGCCGAGCGTGCTGATGCGTGTGCACAGCACCTCGTTGCTCGGCAACTGAAGGAAGATAATTTGATTAAATATAATTGTGAGTTCACGTCCCAGTGTTGGGGAAGGGGTTTAACTCTGGCATTAATCCCTCGCCTTCACTCCAGGCCTGGAAAAAAAAACCCTATATTCTAAAATGCGAGGAAGTGGAAAAAAAAAAAAATGTAAATAATGTATATAAGTATGCCTGCGTCTTTTACTTTTTAAATTACCTTTTATCTCTCTCCTTTTATCTATATATATATATATATATAAGTAAAGTTAAAAATTTCATCTAAAAAAAAACAACGAAATAATGACTAATGATAAGGGAAAAGGAAAAAATTGAAACTAAATATGGAAAAATTAGTTTGGTGAAACAATTTAAATATTTTGGGGAGCTCGTGAACTACGAATGAGGAGACATTTAAGAAACACAAAGTAGAGACGTAAAATTGGATAAATTGAGGTTTTTAGTGAAAAATTTACATAATAAAAAGAATTTCAGGGAAAGCTAAAATCAGACATTATGAAACGGTCATAAAACCGATGATACTCAATGAGTCCTAAACTAAGGACGATTTAGAAACATAAAATCGTTGAACAGAAAGAAAGATTCTGAGAATAATATACGGGCCGAGAAAAGAAAGGAAATAATACCGATTAAAAAAAAAACGACGAGCAGATTGAAAACCTGGAATCATCGATGAAAAAAAGGTGATTTAAGTTCTTCGGAATAGGATGAACAAACAAATATTCGATAAAGTAATGGGACTGAAGAACATAAAAGGTTATCCGAAACAAATAAAATAAGAAGTAAAAAAATAGGTACCAAAGAGGAAGACTATGAAGAAATGGATAAATTTGGAAAAAAAGTGAAAAATATAAAGGTTCTCATAGCAGAAAAGAAGGAGCAAGAAAGTAAGAAATGAATATAGAAAAAAAGGTGATGGGAGAAAAAATAATTCTCCTTCTGGTATTTTATTTTACTATGTTCTATTTTTATGTATTATATTATTTATTTGTGTTTCTGTAAATATGAATTGAATATGCTCTCTAAACTCTTATAAATGTGCTGAATTGAGAAAGACTGTATTATTTATATAAACATTATAAAAAAAAAAATTTTTTTTCAATAATATAATCATTATATTTATGCAATACATAATAAATAATAAATAAGCAGTCCGAATAACAGTTCAGGATAATATGTTATATTAATTCTATAAGTATGGTGTATGAGTTGAAGACCCTATATTGTACAATAAATGTACGAACCACTACACAAAATGAGTGGTATACTTTAAGAATATTATTTATAAGATATATGATGAACATCGTATATTATCTCATAAAATAACGAAACTCGCAGAGATGTTTTATTTACAAATACATATTTGCCATTTGAAGATTAATATTTAGTAATTGGAACAAGGAAGAGGTATTTGTTTGAATATGAAAGAATATTGCATAGGAAAACTGACAAATGGAAACAGGTAAGATAATCATAAAGTGGAAGCACGATTAATGAAGAAATTGCTGAAAGAATAAGATCTGTACTACTACAGCATTGATAATCCACTTTAACCTCAACTGAAAAACATACGATGGGGTTTTGTATGTTCCATCTGAGCGAGCAGAAGTCAAAGGAACGATATATTAAGTCAAATTACGGCTTCGGTTTAAACTAATAAAGACTATTTGCAGAAGTAGTTTAACCGCGATCAAAATAAAAGAAGGTTATACTGTGAATTAATTGCCAATCCTAGGTCATTCTCGAAATCAATTAATAGTGTTTTCTTCAATCAATCAATTCACCAGATCTTAGCCAGTGGGCAGAAAAAAACGATAGCGCTTAAGTGCAGTAATACTCGTACAGTACTACCATCGTATCTGATAGAGAAAGTACAAAAAATGTTTGGTTGGACGTGATTTTAAATGTGTGAACAGATGGGGACCTATAGTCAGAAAATTAACAAATAAGGGAGGCTTATTGATTCTAAGGGATTGGTCAAGATTGTTGCTGATTAATTTTAGTGCCGGAATCTTACATACCCATGACCTAAGGTCTCGTAAACTCGTTATCAAATAGGGAGGAGTAAGGAAGACGCGCTGATTTTTGCATTATCAAGGCACACAGTATTAAGAGCTGGATTGTGATAGTGCTATATAATTTATAAAATGTGGTAATTTAGAGAAAGAGTTGATCAAATATAGATTGTAACAACGCTGTGTTAATAAATAAGTAGGAATATTATCGAGACAAAGTAGGCATAAAAGTAAAATTGGTTAATTTAAATGATAAATTACAAAAATAAAAATTATCTGGCATTTTCATAATCTAGTGGTAAAATAAAAAATAAAAAATATATTAAAATATATACGAATCTCACCAAACAGTATTATCTTGACATCATGACAATGTTTTGATAGCTAAGTTTTTGTTCATTCATATAATAAAAATCTTATAATTCTTCTTTCTTTTTTTTTATCACCATGAATATTAAGGAATTGGACAATGTTAACTTAAATCATATCTTAAGAGTCATGAAAAGTAGATAGTGTTTATATAGATTACTAATGATTGAAATTGTAATTTCCAATAATTAATTTATTCTTTTTATTTCAGCTTTTGACTTTTAAAATAAATTATTTCGAAGCTACAATTGGACCAAAATCAAAAGATGATTTCGATACAGAATCTGCTACAAGAATGAGAAAAAAAATGATGAAAGAGGAAACATTGCTCCAAAATATGCCAGCAATTCAAAGAGTAAGCTTGTTTGTATATATACTAAATGTTTCTTTAAAAATCAGTATACTTAATATCTGTCAAATCGTTAAAAATATTAGTAGTCATTTTGCAAATATCAATTAAATTTATGATAATAAATAAATAGTTGGTCCGTTCGAATTATTCGTTATTTTGTTAATTAGTAATTACAATGTTTATGTTCATTGAAAAACAAATCTGAATACGAAGTCCAAAATTCTGTATCTTTACTAATAATGGAACATGTCATTAACCGTTTTTCGTTTTTTAGGGAATATCCTTTCTTTTCATTTGTTTTATTCGGATGTCTCTTCAGACTATATAGACCGTTGGCCACATGATGTGGTTTTCTTGCATACATTATATCACTAAATAATTAACGAGAAAATATACATTTGGAGATGGGCAAAACTGTTTATCATTATTAGTAGTTGCAACAGTTTCTGCAACTTAAAAAAAAAAACAAAAAACAGATACAATTAGGAATGGGTCGGATTTTATGTGTCAGATACTTTATATCTGATACAACCCACAAGTATCTGGTATAGATACTCACATGTAGTGTTGCCCTAATGCGAGACCGAGACGAGTCTTGGTCTTGCAAAATCAATCTTGATCATGGTGTTGGTCTTGCGCAAGAGTCTCGCAACAGTCTTGCAACTTATTAGCTTATTACTATAGAGATATTACTGTAATTTTTTAGATAGGAGAAACCTAACTAAGCCCGAATGAAAATTTAGAGAAATTAAATGCAAAATTATATTGGTTATACCAATTATTAACATATAGTAACTAAGATTGACGGGTATCAGTATTTTGCCTTAGGTCTATTTTGTCTTAATTTTTAATAAAAATATCGTTTTTTTTTACCAGTCCTGATCTTGGTCTTGTAACAGTAAGGCGGCCTTGGTCTTGCTCTTATTTGTATGTCTGTGGCAGGAAGCTTTTTAAATTAAACAGCTTTCTGTATCTGTTTCAGAAAACTGTGTTTGTATTTGTTGCAAGAAGCTTTTTAATGATACAGGTTACTGTATCTGTTTAAATTAAACAGCTTCTCTATCTTTTTTGGAAAGTTATTCAATTAAACAGATTCAGTGTTTCCCTCTTTTCCCGTCGGTATTGCTGTCTATACCTAAACTTGTACTCAATTACTGTGAGATGGCTTTGTAAGGTCCTACACTCACCGCTGTGTTCATCATGACACCATTTTGCTCAGTTTAGAGATCTATTCGATGCCATCAATGAGTTCAGTATTGATGATTGTAAGAATCTGCTCCTTCCTAATGGAAGGTAATCTTTGTATCTGTTTAATCTCGAGTGAAACAGTTTACTGTATCGGTTCAATAAAAGAAACTGTTTACATTAAACAGATTGCTACTAAACACAGCATCACTATTTTGGAGTTATGTACAACTAAATATTTCTATCCTTCAATACATTTTTCCTATGTTTATTTATATCTTTATTTTTCTTCTTTCTTTCTTTGCATTTTCAAACATCAAACTTTTATTATTGATGAGTTTCCCGGTAGTCCAAATTTAAAGTTAAATATTTCGTCGTAATGTATATGAAAAATAAAAATTTATTTCCATTAAATATAATCTTTATCTTTGTGCCATGTTATCTGTAATTTGTAGATTTATTTATGCAATTTGATATTATTATAAAATGATTTATTTAGATATTAAGTTATTTATATCTTATTTTGAATCCGATAGTAGATATTGAAATACATAATATATTGAAATAAAAATAAAAATAAAAAAATATAAATTCCTATTCTTCAACATTCTTACAAAAATAAGTTAAAAAAATAGTTAATGCTTGATAAATCCAATAAAAACTTTATAATGTATTTATTTTACGAAATAACAATAAAAATAATTAAACTAACTCGTAAAGTGACACAATAAATGTATTCATTATTTCAGAAAGCTGAAAGATGCTGCATGCAGAGCTCTGCCATCAACATTTATGAAAACTACTTCGAACCACCGACTTGGGATGAACCAGAAGAATATGCCGTTATAGAGCTGAGGAAAATTGACAAATACGAAGACTTCATCGATGCTCCTCCCCGACCGGTCCAAAGCATTGCGATTGAGCCTTTTGATGGCTTGGAAATGGCAGCAGCTTACAGTTACCTCACCTACAGGAAGAGGGACTTCATTACAGATTGTCAATGTTATATTTGGAACTTCGGTTAAGTACAACCAATTAAGAGGGGTATAGGTTTTTTTTTCATTGCGTTAGGAAATTTGTAAAAAATAAATTACCTCTGACCACAGATTTTTGAGAACTAAATTAGTAGGCTCCTCTTCTTCAAATGGGCTTTTAAATTGAAGAAATTCAAAAAGTTGTAATTATTATATACGGGATTACACAATATTAAAATTGACAGTATTTTCAAAAACAACTCCTCTGTTACCCAGTAAAGAATCTTTATATCAATGAAATTCGAAATGGTGAAATCAATAAATAAGCAATTTAATTCAGCAATTCAGTGCAGGAAGCGGGAGAAGAGTCGCCCGAAAAATTTGAGATATTAATTGTTATTGGTTATTAGACAGCTACTAAGAACACTAATTACTTTTATTTTCAATTATATCTAATTTTTCATCGCTGAAAAAAAAAATAATAAAGAAATAATAGCTCAGCTCGACCAATAATTTAACGGTTTAATTGTTAGTTCAACAGAAATCCTTGTACTAAGTCCTCAAATACTACCTCTCCAATCGTTCCTTCAGAGTACGCTGTGGCTCAGAATTTTCTGATTGTTACCCAGTCGAAGCTGGTGTCCCACGAGGCAGTGTCTGGGGTCCTATTCTCTACATTCTTTTCACTGCAGATATCCCTACAGATTCCGAAATCTTCCTAGCAAAATTTGCTGATGATACCGCCATCCTGTTCTCCCACTCAGACCCCGAAAAAGCATCCCTCAACCTGCACAAACACCTCTCACTGATTGAGCAGTGGTGCAACAATTGACGCATCAAAATGTAAACAAGTCACCTTCACCCTCCGACGCAGATCCTGTTCGCCAATACTATTTAACTCTATTCCACTTCCCATTACAGGTAATGATAATTAATTGATTCGAACCATACCTTTTTGCTTAATCACTATCGAAGGTAGGGAAGCATTGTATTCGAACAAGAGGTTAAAATAATGTTGTGCTCAGAAGCGAATTCACTCGCGTTTTACGTTTCAGTCATCGAGAATCAAATTTGGTTCGGTGTCTGTCTGTCTGTCTGTAGTCAAATCGATGTAACGGGAATATCACCTACTACCCTAAATCCGATTTTCATGAAATTTTCAGGAATTGTGCGGATTGGTATCTTGATGATTCCATATCAATTTTATTAAATTCTAACCAGCGCTTCCGCTTGCGGACGCGCAAACGCATTTTTGTAGATATTCCGCTAATATTTCAGAAACTGCTCGTTCGATTTGGCTCAAATTTGAATAAAAGGTAGATATTTGTAAAAAAATACCTATCAATTTTATTGAATTATGTCCATTGCTATCTCTTATATATGCGCAAACGTGTTTTTCCTTGATACGTCTATATCTCTAAAACCGCAAGTTCGATTTGGCTCCAATTTGAAGCGAATTTAGTGATTGGTAAACGTAAAATGAAATAGCCATCGATTTTTTCGAATTCTATCTAATACTCCAAAAAACAAAACAAAAAAACTTCCTTTTTCAGATCAGGAAATGTGTTATTTGATATGGCTATAGTTTGAAAACGGCGCTTTCGATTTGACCCAAACTTGGAGGGAATTTGGAGAACAGCATAGAAATGACTTAGAATCAATTTCATTGAATTCTACTTAATAATTAAAATTAATATAAATAATTGTTAACAATATAATGGCTCCAAAATGTTGAAGGCACTGATCATATGGAGTGGGAGTTAGGTTATTACAATACTGTTATGGAGTTATAAAATTTTAGGTTTTATTAAAAAAAATTAATTGATTCTGTATTGTTTGGTCGATTCCAAACGTTTAGGGGCGGGGTGGCCGAATAGGCTAAAGCGTGTATAACAGCATCGCTAGTTGCCTGGCAACCGGATAACAGAGATTTGAGATGATATAAAAAGTACGAGTTCGCGTCCCAGTGCCGGAGGGGATTTTAAATTTCCCCGCCCTCACCCCCCGGCCCGGGAAAATCCCGTATAGCCTAAAAGGCGAGGTAGGGAAGAACAAAAAAAAAAAAAAAAAAAGATTCCAAACGTTACTGGCATGACACTTCCTGCCATTACTTAGATTTCGTTTAATTTTCAATACATTTAAAGTAATTTATACTCTGAATTTGTAAAAAAAAAACGTCTTATTTGTGATTGTGTTTATCTCCAATGAAGTTCAATCAGTTCGTCTTGGTCTCGATTGCCTTCTTAAATATGAAAGTTGTGTGAACTTCACCCATATTTTTATACTTAATTAATTTTGTTCTGACAGAAGAAAAGTATTGGTCTCGTTAACTCCAAACAAACAAGTTGAATTTTTCCTATGGATTTTCTAGGTCCATCCATTTTACTAACTGAAAACGTACCTATTAGGTATACATCACCATTATTAGTGCAAAAGATCTTATGTAAAAATTTTCAACTTTTATTCTATTTGTGCTAAAGGTGACATTTTGTAGTCTGCAACTGATTTAAGTAGTCTACTACTATGGAAAATAGCACAGGACAATAAAATATGAAATTATACCAATAAAGAAATAATGAGTTTTTACATACGACATTTTGCACTATCAGTAGTGAAATGCATGTTCAGTATGCATTGGTATTTTTTAGCATTAAGAATAATCATAAGGAATCTTCAAATACGGCGCTCTTTCGCATTTTATCAGCTAATATGATAAACGAAATTCGTGGATATCAAACTAGCGAATGTTGAAGGGTAACTGTATTTGTAAATCTGCTTCTCCCAGAGATTTTATTCTCATACGAAAAATTGTATACCTTTTAATATTTTAGCCAATGAAAACTGTGAGGAAGCTATTTTGACTTTACTTGGCAGACGTTTTTTTCTTTGCATATTCATTGCTTTTTGCAAAAATGTGGAATTTCGTTTCTAGCTAAACAAAGTTACAACTAAATTATGAATAGAATCATAATTCAATCTATTTTCTAAAATACTTTATATTAAATTGAATATCTTTCAGAGGATACAACCAAACCTCTAATGACACTGGAACCAACAGTCCCCGTAACCAGATTAAATTACAATCCAAAGTTACCGCAGATGCTGCTTGGTGGATTAATGACAGGGCAGGTGAGTTTTAATTACACCTAAAAAGAAGACCTAACGTATTGCTGTAAAAAGTATTTAAAAGGAACTCATTGAAAACGTTTTTATATCATTATCCGAAATTAACTTATTGACTATTCTCTATAAAGAATATTTCATCATTAAGTGCTAATAATTAATAAAATAATTCAATGCTATTAAAATAGTATAATTTTGTGACGGTACAGGCTCCTTTTCATCAAATTATTAACATCGTCTAAAACTCTGTGAATGGTTTCATCTTAACGTAACATACAACATTTTTATTTTGCCAGAATTCTGGGAAATGGAACTTTTTTTATCTTTGTCTTTTTAATGAGGTACTAAAAACTCAACACCCCCAAGATGTCAAAATAATGAAATTACATAGGCCATATAGCCTAATAGCTCAGTAAAAATAGGTAAAAAACCAGGGTCGATATCAAGAAAAGTCATAATTGGCTGTAAATGTGGGGATTAGTTCCTCATCGAATGTAGAATAAACCATGAAAAATCTACTAATATCCCACGTCCACTTCTATCCAAAATGGAGGATCAAAGATGGCCGCATAGAATGTTCTGTCTTGTGTTATGTTTTTTCTCAAATCTGCGTCAAAAACCATCATTCTTGCATTCTACAAGTACTAATATAATCGTCAAGGATACACGTTTTCGATTCCATCGAAATTCACCTGATAAAAAAGTGATAAACGAGCTGTAAATTGATCTGGTTGGAGTCAAAAAAGCGAAATTTTCTTGATTCTAATTCTGTCATCCTTCATTACTTTGGATCTATTGACAAATAGAAAATAATGTTTCTTATGTTTATTGTAGTCCTAAGCAAGAGGAATGTTAAAAATTTTTTTTTTTTAATATTTGCAAAAAATGTCTGAGATATGTTATTTTTTAATAAAAAAGTCTGGATCTCAAAGCTGAATTCCATCTCGAACTATTCGGACTGGATAGGCAGTTGTGGACTAGGAGCTACCGATCATTTCATTTAACTGAAGGACTTGGAGTTAGTAACCATTTTAAATTGTTGATAAACCTCATCTGAACACATAACTTCGGTCAGTCGGTTGAAAGTCGTTGATTTCTACGCGAAAATGTAAATTAAAGTGGCGCCATTTGACGTTTCATTTAACAGTAGAACGGACTGCTGAAACTTTGGTATAATGCAAAGAATATGTCTCTAAAAGATAATTCACTTCGAATGACGATGTATTCGGTTGCGTTTTGAAAACTGACGGCGTGAAAGATATCAAATTAGTTCAGTAGAATGATACTAGAATGTAGGAAAAAAGCAAATAATTTCTCTTCCGGTTTCTCTTCGATTAGATATGTTCTTTAGGGTATTGAATCTGAATCTGAATTTTTTATTGCGTTCCAAGATATATGAAAAAAATAGCTACATTTTCGTACTTTTTATAGTTTTTTGGCCATGTTTTCGAAAATATTTTATCTAAATTATTACTCTAAACAAAGTTAAAAAACATAAAATCTTCTATACATTTTTAGAATAGGTTTTTTATGTAAGACCAAAATGTGAGGACTTAACTGTTTACTTATATCACAAGAAGTAGCTGTTTTTGTTGCTTTTTTTTCCCAAAACTCAAAATCTATGTATCTCTTGAAGAAATTTATTATAATCACTTTGAAAGAGCATTATGTTTTCTATATAACTCCTGTAGATGAAGTAACCGGCTGTAAAGCGCACGGAAATGAGGTCATAATAATCTGGCGCACTCAAGGGGACTTCTCATAGTTTGTTCCATAGGCGGACCTAGGGGGGGAGGGGACTTTCCGGCTGAAGCCCTCCCCAAAATGGTAAAACGTAACCATGTTTTACAGAAAAAAAATATTAAAAACTGTCTCTTAAAGTATTCTTGTTCGTGTAATTATATTTAATAGGACTTCAAGAACCACTTAAACACTATTTTAAATAGGTAATTAATTTCTTTATTTATTTTTCAAATTAATTATCGTTATATGTATATGAAAAAAAAAAATCTTTTGGGCTGAAGCCTTTGTCTGTCTGTAATGAAATTCCCTACAAAACTATATAAAAATCGTTCATTTAGGACAAGTATTAACGAAGTTACAGCTACTCAATTTCCAATGTAAGATTACAGGTTCCTATCCTAGTGTCAGAAATGGTTGAATGAGAGAGAAAAAAGATAACTAAGTAAAAGTAAGAAAATCTGTTAGCCACATCACACAAGCTGCACTATTTCTTTCACTTATAACAGAGATTATTGTGTGACAAAATTAGGCTGCGGCAAAAAGTTTTAAATCAGCAATATTAGATGGTATTGAAATGTTTACACTTTATCTACCTTAAGCTGGTTTATATTGCTTTAGTTTATCAAATAAATTGAACTCAAATCTTTTCTTTGATCTATTTCTTGAATCTATTTTCAGGAAAATTAATGTAATTCATTCATTAAAAAATAAGCTAATTTTTTTTTTGTTTCTTAATGGACATATGTAAGTATGTAAAAACTTTTCTGAAATAGGTAGGAAAGTCGTGTGAGTGGACACACCAGATTTTTTTTTTGTTGGATAACCCCCTATTCACTGTCTGTCCTCCCCTATAAAAGTTTAATTATAATGTTTTTTACTGGACAAATTGAACCTTGGAATTTTGTATGCCAGGTATTTAGAACCTTTGCTTCGATCAACCAGAATTAAATAAACCTATACCAACAAAATTAGTTGCATAACCCATAACCGAACCATGGAGCAGTGAGTGATTTTGACTGTATGATATTGGTCATAAAATTATGTTAGTCTCAGGAGTTTAACTGTTTCCTCTTAACTCTTCATTCATCCATTTCCAAATAGTAGGTCCCATCTACCGCTGAGTGAGCCTAAGAAGTATCTATGAACTGTGGTCCCTAGCATGTGACAATTTTATACAAGGGATTGATTGGAGAGGCATAATGAAAGGTGGAAAAGATCCTCAAAAGTAAAATTGTATATATGTACAATATTACTAACTATTTATTGTACCTGAGAGGATGTAAAATAAATGTACAAAGACACTTATAGGAGAAATGAAATTCATAAGTAGACGAATTTCAGTAAAATTCGTGAATAAGATATGAATATATTGTGGCAAATTAGTCTGTTGTGAATTGTTAACTTTACTGGCAAATCATGAAATCAATCCCTGTTAACTAGTCCTGTAGTCAATGTAGGATGTGAGAATTTAAGATCATTGTCTGAATGCAGTAAAAGCACAACTGGACTATGACCTGAAGTAAGGTCATCTAGGGAATTTGATTATGGCTTGGGAAGACAAAATCCGGGAGGTGGTAAATATATCCAGGATATCAGGAAGTTTTTTGAGGGATGTTGGGCAATCAGTATTATTCATGGGCAGTGGATGGTTGTTGGAAGTTGAAACATGTGAAAGGATGTTACCACAGGAGTTCGATGTTGGACAACCCCATCGTTGATGTTCAGCATTGTAGTCTCCTCTAGCAATAAAGTGTGATCCAAGGTATTGGAATAAGAAATCAATAAGGCTATATGAGAGGGAAATACAGTATATTAAAATCCAAAAATACAGTAAAACTAAATAAGAAAAAAATAAGTAACCATTGATTTAATTTCTTCATTTCACCATATTTTTTTCATAATGGAATTACAAACTTGGGAGAGGAGTTTTGATTTGCTCCAGTGTACTTGGAACATATTTATTTTTCTATATATTAGTCAGTATCATTTTTCATTAAAAATTCCAATTTCATGTTTTGTACAAACTGAAGACTTTTGCGATTCCTGGTTCTTAGGAAATTTTTACATAGCATAAGATGTCCTAAAGGAGTTAGAAGTGTTTTTATTTTTTATTTTCCAAAAACACTACATCGGTCCCACTGTGCGACATACAGCATAGAAATGAAACGTTCAATCCAATTAATTATAATAAATTTTCTGTAATATCAAAGAAATCAAATTTATTGAAGCAACTCTACTCTCTTTAATGGTACTCCTCAATAAATAAGGAATTTTTATATTGTAAAATTTAGCAATACGAAATTTGTATTCAGCTGTGTTTTGATAATTTTAGACTTAGTAGATGTCCATTAAAAAAAAAGAATATCGTTCCTATAATTATCTTTTACTGTTATTTTTTTTAACAGGTCTTCAAGGACCATTAAAACATCATTTTTTGTATTACCTTTATTATTTTTTAAAGTAATTAGTGATAATAAAAATCTCTGTTCAAAATTAAATTGTGGATCCACTTCTGGATATTATCCATAATAATAATTTACTTGGGAGTTCTTATTTATTTTTCAGCTCTGTTACTGGGATTTAAGAGCTAGTACTACTCCAGCTGCATTTTCTGGCCTCCATACCACTTTCCGAGAGCCTCCATCCGGTGCTTTATGGGTACATTCAAAAACAGGATTTGATTGCTTTGCCACTTCTCCAGATGGACAAGTATATATTTTAATCACTTTTGTCAAAAATAGGATATTGCACAGATCATATCAGTAAGTAGGTCATGTATTTCTTATAGATTTTGATACATTATTTTCTTAAAAGAATTAAGCCCATGCTGCAGCCACTTGCACACACATTACTTCCTTGTAAAGTCTAGAGTAAAAGACCCTGATCCTTCAACAATGATATTTTATAACAGAAATAGTCGAACTTGTACTATTAATACAAGTATAGAGGGGATTACAATACTGATGGAGTGTACAAAACACTAATGCATCACAGGTATAACCAAGATCTAAAGGAATTGCTTGTCAGAAATGTAAAAGCCTGTCTTCTGAAAGTTCTCCTGGAATATTAGGAGGAATAATAGCAGTGTTATTTCTTAGATGATCAAAAATTGTCTTTGAAAAAATTCAATTGCTGATTCAGTTTCATGTTCTGAAAATCACGCACAAAGAACTGGACCTAATTTGCTGGCTATTATGAAATTCTACTGGATATTTATAAAATCTATTTCATTTTTGGTTTGACCATTCAGACTGATTCAGGTCAATTTCAGTTCAAAATATTACTTAAAGAAAGTGTTTACAATGTACATTTTGCGGCTTTCTGCAGGTAGGATTAGTCTTTCTCCTCTTTCATTCCTGTTACCAATTTAGTGTGGTCTTAAAGAAATGTTCCTTCATGGTTTCAGCACACAGTTAGATAGTGCCTGACAAAAACGAGTCTTGTTCTCTGAGAAATGTAGTTTGAGACAAAGAACATGAACACTGTTCCAATCTTTTATATATTTTTTAAATAGAAAAAAAGATGAATATGGTGCAGGTACATCGAAAGCTTCAATGGGTTTAAGACATAAAATAAAATAACATAAGTTATAGAGAGACTGTTATTTTGTGAATTTTAATCCACTTTATCCCATATCAGATTCTCTATTACTAAGGGGTAAATAATGATATATAAATTTTTTAAACCAATGCCAATAAAAATCAGAGTCAAATTTTATTCTATCTTCTTATCCAATATTAATTCTAGTCTTTGGGAACATGTTTCTTTTCCCAAATGACACTTCGAATCTAATCTAATTTCAAAATAAATCTCGAAAATCAAACTGAATATAAATAAAACTAAATAACAACATTGAGACCATCATGCTTGGCAATAAGTCATTTAATTCTCGAGTAGTCAGTTCCTCAACCATTTTTTTTATGAAGTTGTCATACTAACCTGAGCACGTTGTATTTTATATATAATAGAAGTAGATAGATATCCTGAGTTTCCATTTGGGGCCACTACAACAATGTAATATAGAAATAATATATATGTATTATCAATTTTATGTTTTATTACAAACAACATAATATATTTTTATCAATTATTATTTTTACGATTACACATTTTGAAATTGAATATTGTAATATGTTCTAATTTTATTAGATGTGAGAATATTTTTGCTCTTTAGATATAACACAATTTTATTTTATTTTATAAAAGCCTCACATTTGATTGAATGTCATTAGTTTTGATGCGAATGAGATAGCAACATTTGAGAAAATATGCAGATAGAAAAAACATTTTTTTCTTAAATAGTGGAAACTTTAGTTTATTTATACTAAAAATATGTTCTCATGAGAATATAATATATTTAGAGTATCAAATTTCATTTATACTATATTTTTCTCATTTCTTACTCATATATAAACTATTCCTGACTTATAAACGATGTTATTTTATAAACAGGTGATTTGGTATGATGTTAGATATTTTGATAAACCCATTGAATCATTAATATTGGATTTTCATGCGAAGGACCAAGCTCCAAGTTTGGCTAATACAGTTGGTGTTTCAACACTAGAATTTGAACCAACTATACCAACAAGGTTCATGGTAATTACTTTGATTTAATTTTGAATATTATTTATAGTATATTGTAGTCACTACATTTAAGTAATGAATGTTAATAAAATCATTTTTCTGGAGCCTAAAACCTGTTGCAAAAATGATTTTTCTCTAAGTCTTTTTACTTTTCTGAGTCCTAGATCTGTGTTTATAAAAGATTTATTATAAGTGCAGAATTTTTTACCCTTGACAGTCTCTATTTTTTTTAAAACTTTATTTGTAGAGATGCTTTCAGTGTCCGTGCACAATATTCATCTCTATAATTATAATACTCCAATTATAATAAATTAACAGTTAATTAATAATGTTAAAAATATATGTATTACATAATTTTTGAAATGTCATGCAATTATTATCAGATCATGTATTATCCTTTTGTCAGTTTCATATATTTGAAAAAACGTAAAGAATAAGAATAGTGTTCTTGTTCTTCGTCTCATGTCAGCTTTCTCCGAGAATAGGGCTCCTCTCTGTCGAACACCATCTTACTGAGTGCTGAGAATTTACTGTCAGCCCATTCTATATTATCGCAACAACTTGGTAACTAAAGTTACCCTACCTTATTTAATTTACAATGATTGGAATTTTTATGAATAACTATTATACGTGAATAGTGTTGTGGGATGTGGGCCGTTTCCTGTTTTGAATTTAGCACTTTTTTTTTTGGTCATTGCTATATAGATGGATTCTAAAATTTTTATATCGGTAGTTTGATTTATGAAGTATTTTAATATTTTCAAAATCTATTTCAGGTCTATGGTTTTTTTAAATGGTTTGATAAAGCGGTAACTGTTTTTGAATTAGGTTTAAGAGTATTTTTGTGTTTATATATTCTGTATTTATATCGGTCGATGTCATTCCTCTATATGATTTGTCACAATTTTTACAGGGAATATTAAATTTCTATTGTTTTGGATAGATGTTGGGACCTTTGTCTTTGTCAGTAAGTTTCGTATTGGGTGTCTGGGTTTGAGGGTGAATTTGGAATCGTCTATGTCTAATTTTTTTAAAGGTTTTTATGTATTGTATGTCAGTCTGTTGATTTACGTAAAGGATTTCAATTTTTAATTATTATTTTTTATGAAAATCGGCAATTCTTCTTCATCAATGTAGAGGACGACTACATTGATGAAGAAGGATTGCTGGAATCCATTGCCAAGATTAAACTCGGCAAGTCGGCGGGACTGGACGGAATCACTCCGGAAATTATGAGGTTTAAGTTTTCACAAGCTGTTTCCACCTGCTGCATTGCTTTTTTGCCATTCATATTGCTACTTGAGACAGCTATTTCATCAGCAAAGACTGTCACAGAAGCATTTTGGTGTTTAGTTCCCACTATTTCCGCAGTATATAATAGGAAAAGAACAGGAGATAAAACAGGACCTTGGGGTAACAATTCCTTTTGTTTATTTACTGCCTTATATAATAATTTTGTTATTAATTTATGTGGGTAAAAACTATTTTTTTAGTTTATTAAATATTTGTTGCTTAATTTCTTTCATATATATATATATATATATATATATATATATATATATATATATATATATATATATATATATATATATATATATATATATATATATATATATATATATATATAAGTTAAGCGTCGTCGGACTTAAGAAATAAAAAAAAAGAAGGAAAAGGGAAAAGATGTAACATACACGACTTCTGAAATAACACTGCTTTATTCGTTCCATAAGCCTCCTTATATACACTTAGCCTGTTTATTTACATTACCAGATAGTATTAAGGCTGATACCGCCAGTCTCCGGTCTTTATCTCCCCCCCACCAGTTTACGAACAGGATTTTCGGAAACTTAAATATTCCTAGATCGGAGCCCACGGTGACCAGCCTTAACACTTTACAATTGGTTTTACAGTATATCCTTAAAAGAAAATAAAATAGTTCCACTCAACTGGAAAAATAATAAATAACGAAAAAATAATTAAAAACACTGAAACTAAACACAGCACTTTAGAACTCCTACCACTTGAGAACTCCTAACAACAACAAAAAAAAAACACAATTTCCTCTATACATGAAATAATACAAAAAAAAAATTTTTTACAACTTGTTTTGTTTTGACAGCCACAAAAAAACATATTTCTCTGTTTTATATACAGCGGTGAGGGTACTACGAATCCGTAGGTCTATGTCCCGACTCTATCATTGGGAGCTTTAATTGTTCGATATGAACGGTTCTCCTCTTTCTGGGCTCATTCACGCTCTCAATAGTTACCAGGTTATGCTCCCTAATAACAACCACTCTGAATGGACCCTCGTACCGTAGCAATTGTTTCCCTCTGTTGGTTCCCAATTTCCGGTAAACTATTGTTCCTATTTTTAGTTCCCCCATTTGGTCGCGTACCTGTACATTCTGCCTTTCCACCCGCTTCTGCTTTTCCCGCTTAATTCTCGCCGTTATCTTTCCCCATGTTTTCTCTACCTCTACCCTATTGCTGAGAATTTGATCCACTAACGGTTCGGTAAGCGTAGTTTCCCCATAATCCCGCCTTGGCCTGCGCATCCCGAATAGAACTTCCATGGGTGAAAACCCCGTTACGGAGTGGATCGAGTGGTTATAGGCTGTTACCGCTTTCCTCATTGCCACATCCGGCTCCAACCCTTTTTCACCCTGATATACACGGACGTGGTCGCTTAACGTACTGTGCAGCCGTTCAATACCGCCTCTACCTTTAGGATGTCCTGGGGTGTTATAATGCCACGCAATTTCCAATCGCTTCACCTCCTCCCTAATCGCGGCATTGTCGAACTCCCTACCACCATCCGAAGTAATCCTCTCGGGGACCCCATAGAACTGCACCCAGGTTTGTAGGGCTTCCGCAACTGCATTGGCTGACTTCTCCATCACTTGGTATGCCATCGCCACCTTGCTGAATATGTCGATTACCGTGACCCACTTAAACCCTTTCCAGGTAAACGTGTCAATCTGAAGGTCCTGTAGCGGCATATTCCCTGTAGGTGTCTCCTCCTGAACTCCTCTGGGGGGGTGTCGATCGTATTTTGTGCGCATGCATAACTCGCATTTCCCAATGACTTCCTGGATGGACCTCTTCATGCCCCACCAGAAATACTTCCGACGCAATGCCTGCAGCGTCTCATTAACGCCTCGGTGATTGGTTTTCCCCTGGTGATATGCTACTGTGATTGCTTGCTGCTGCTCTTCGTCCTGTACCGTCTCCACAGCATACCTGCACCGGATGAATGTCCTGTCCACGCCTATTCGCTCGGACCTCCACATTCGCTTGATCTTATCCCATACCGTATTGTTTCCCACGTATAGGTAGTGCGTTTTACCCGCTTCCGAGGCATCCCTCAGTGCCGTACAGATTTATTCTTCGCTGACCCCGGGCTGCGACCAAATGACGCGGATCCTAGTTCTCCCGTACCTTCTGAAATCGATCTTCATGATTCCGGTTGTTCGTGTCTTCCAAATCACCTGACGGTGTTTGTCGTTCACGATCTCCTCTATTTCTTCCATCTCCGCTGCCCTTTCTTCCGCTGAGCTCTCCTCTTCTGGGGAATCTCCCCTGTCCTCAATCCCTGCGGTGTCATTTGCCCCTTCGCCATCGGGAGTCCATTCCCTCAAGAATTGACGCACGTCCTGCGATGGTCCTCCCCTGTCCTCTTCAACCGCGTTGATCATGATGGCCCTCGAGAGCCAGTCTGCCACCACGTTTTCCTTTCCCGGCTTATACACCACCTCTATGTTGTATTGGCTTAGGATCTCCTTCCATCTTGTGACCCTAGCTGAGGTTTCCTTGAGTTTTCCTACCCACTGGAGGGGTTTGTGGTCGGTATGGACTCGAAATTTTCTCCCGAATACGTATGGCCTGAAATGGTCGATAGCCCATACTATCGCGAGTAGCTCCCTCTCCAAAGCGCTGTACCTTGATTCCGCACCCGTAAGCCGACGGCTCGCGTATGCTATCGGTCGTTCACCCTCACTCCCCCCCTGGGACAAAACGGCCCCTAGCGCGTATTCACTCGCATCAGTGGTTATATTAAAAAGCTTCTCGAAATCCGGGAACGCTAACACCGGCTCCGTCAGCAACCTATTCATACATTTTCGAATGTTATTCTCCATCTCTGGTGTCACCACAATCTTCGCGCCTTTCTTCAACAAATTGTTAATGGGTACCAAATACTCTGCCATCTCGGGTACGAATCTCCGGTAATAATTCAGCGTCCCGAGAAGCCTACGAATCCCCTTGACGTCCCGTGGTACCGCCATCCGCGTGATTGCCTCCACCTTTGCCGCATCCGGTCTGACCCCCTCGCTAGAGATAGTGTGGCCTAAAAAATTGATCCGCGTTTGTCCCAGCAGAGACTTCTCGCTTGACAATTTCAGCCCGAATTGCCGGAGCCTTTCGAATACTGCCCTCAGATGTCCCACGTGCTCGGTTTCCGTTCTGCTAAAAATCAGCAGGTCATCCATGTATACCTGGCATACCGAGTCATCGATGCCCCTCAAAAATTCGTCCATCAGACGCTGAAATGTTATGGGCGCATTCTTCAGACCAAACGGCATTCTGGTGAATTCATAATGCCCCCTTTCAAATGTGAACGCTGTTTTGTGTTGGTCTTCCGGGTGCATCCGTATTTGGTGGTATCCCGCCTTGAGGTCCAGCGTGCTAAAGACCACGGCCCCACTCAACCTATCGAGTATATCCTCGAATCTCGGGATCGGGTACTTCTCGTCTACCGTGTTATCGTTCAATTTACGATAGTCTACTACCACCCTGTATTTTTCCTTATTATCCCCCGGCGCTGCCTTCTTTTTCACCGCCCACAGGGGACTATTGAATGGTGAGGTGCTATCAACTATGATTCCCTGTTCTTTTAGACTATCTAGCTCCTCCCGAATATGCTGTCTCAACGCCTGCGGGTATCTTCTCTCTTTCACGTAAGTTACCCTCTCCTGTTTCAGTGGGATTTCGTGCACCGTCCTCCCTGTTACCCCTAATACCTCACCTTCCCTGAAGAAGATATCCCTAAACTCCTCTTGTAGCACCTTCCTCCAGTCCTCCACTCTGTCCACCGCTCCTATCCGCACCCTTCTTTCTCTCGCGCCCCCTATACATCCGAACTTCCTCTTTCCCAACCTAACGCTCCAGACTCCTCTACGATTTCTAATGCTCGCCCCTACCTGACCTAACAAATCGCACCCTACTATGACTTGGTATTCCCGAGTCATGTTCTCCACCACATGCACCCTTAGCTCACCCTCTTTCCCTGTCCACCGATCAAGCCCAATTGTCGCCTCACCCTCTACACTACAGGGACCACCCAGAGTGATCAGCTGGCAGTCACATTTCTGTATCCGGAGTACCCTCTCGCTCCCGCACCCTTTTCCTAACGCCCTTCGAGTCATAATAGTGCTCGAGCTACCCGTGTCCACAAGACACTTTACTCCCCCGTCTACTTCGATAATTGGCAACCAGCATGGCTTACCTCGGACGTTGTAGCATATTGCTGTGCGGTCGCCTCTCTGCCGACACACTCCTCAGATGTCGTCCCGCTTCCTCCTTTCTGCCGCCGCTCGTCGCTGCTCACTCCGTTGGCTGCGCCTACCTCCTTCACCTCCGCTGCTGCCTGGTTCGTCCGTCTCCGTTCCCGACGCTCCTGACTCCTCGGTTGCCTCCTCCGAAGATCCGTCCCGCTGATGTACCCTGGCTCGTCTTTTCATCCTCTGCACATTCACCTCCATGGGTTCGTCCTGAGGTCTCTCCCTCCTGTGAAATATGTATGGGCACTGCCTTGCTATGTGCCCTTCCGTCCCGCACTCGAAGCATCTGGTGCGCGGACATTGCGCTACTTATTGTCCCGGCTTCCCTCAGCCGGGACATTTTCTCTCTTCCCTCCGGGGCCCATTCCTCGGCCTCGACGACTGTCCCGATCTTCTTTCCCTCGTCGGGGCTTTTTCTCCACTCGGCTGCCTTGTGTCCCTCTTCCTCCAACCTGTCGGGGCTGTCCATGGTCGTCTATCCGTCACTCGGGTCCAACCCGGTTCTTCCACATCCATCCGTGTCTCTTCCTCTCTGGCACTTAGGTCGATCATCTCCTGGGCGCATTCGAGGAACGATCGCTCTCTGGGCAGTCCGTCCCTCTTCCCCGTTTCTTTAGCCAGCTGGACTTTCAATATTGTCGACAGAAACTCCATCCTGGCTTCGACCTCTCCCACGCTCATTGTTTCCCGCATCTTCTCGGTTATGCGATTGTACTTCGCCACGAGTACCCCCGCATATTGCCCCCTTGACTGTCGTTGGGCCCGCCGCTCCCTAAACATTTGGAATATGTCCTCTTCCGGTGTCCACCTACCTCCTCCAAACGCCGTCTTCAGCCGCTCCTTAATCACCGGCCACGGAGTCTCCTCGTCCGCTTGGATCTGGTTCAGGACGTTCCTCCTTACTCGGCACACAAGAGCTGCTTTTAGTTCTTCCGCGTCCCCTAGGTTCACCAGGTCCTCCGCCACCTTCACCTCGATTCTTGACATAAGACGATCTCCGCCTTTCAAGAAATGGTTGAGCTCGCCTACCTCGCCTCCGAATCGTTCTAGGTCCGCAATGGCCCTCCGTAAGTCCTGCGTGGTTGTTGCTCTTATTTTCATCCATTCCAAGGCATTGGCGTGTGCTTCTGCCAACGTGTCCCTTGGTAATGGAGGGATCTCCTGGATCTGAGGGATCTGTGCTACCTGAGGGACTTGAGGTATCTGAGGTACCTGAGGCGCGATCTGGGGTACCTGATTGATCTGTGGAATATCCTGAGGTTGAGGAATTTCCGGTACGCTTAGTACTCCCGGTCTAATCAATCCTTCTGTCGGCATTTCACCTTTTCCTTAAACACCAAAAAAAAAAAATATATACTTAAAAAAAAATGACTTCCCTGCCGTTGTCCCGGGTTTCGGCACCAGTTAAGCGTCGTCGGACTTAAGAAATAAAAAAAAAGAAGGAAAAGGGAAAAGATGTAACATACACGACTTCTGAAATAACACTGCTTTATTCGTTCCATAAGCCTCCTTATATACACTTAGCCTGTTTATTTACATTACCAGATAGTATTAAGGCTGATACCGCCAGTCTCCGGTCTTTATCTTATATATATATATATATATATATATATATATATGTCTGTAATTTTAATTGTTTTATTAATGCTTTTACTATCCATAAAAATTCAAATAATAGTAAATTAAATAAGGTAGGGTAACTTTAGTTACCAAATTGTTGCGATAATATAGAATGGGCTGACAGTAAATCCTCAGCACTCAGTAAGATGTTGTTCGACAAAGAGGAGCCCTATTCTCGAAGAAAGCTGACATGAGACGAAGAACAAGAACACTGTTCTTATCCTTTATGTTTTTTTAAATATATGAAACTGATAAAAGGATAATACATGATCTGATAATAATTGCATGACATTTCAAAAATTATGTAATACATATAATGTTAACGTTATTAATTAACTGTTAATTTTTTCTAATTGGAGTATTATAATTATAGGGTTGAATATGGTGCACCAACACAAAAAGCTTTTCATCAAATAAAGTTTTAAAAAAAATAGAGACTGTCAATGGTAAAAAATCCTGCACTTATAAAAACATCAAAACAGTCTAAAATTACCTACTAAAAGATTTATTTTGCAAAAACACTTTTGGTAAATTAATAAACACCATTAATTCCAAAAAATGATTTTTCATATTCATTACTTAAGCATAGTGATAATTTAATTTAAAATATCATAAATTCAATTGCAATCTATTTGTGCAAACATAAAAGATTTACCATGAATTTTAAAATGTTCATATTTTGTTGAAGATTTATAACTTTCTTAAAATAAATGATTTATAAAAAAAATTCTATCTTTGTAAAGTATCAACCAATGAGTTCTTCATTTCAAATGAAAAGTACTGTTTTCCTTATTAATACATTTATAATTTTTTTTTCTTGTAAAAATAATTTTTGTAATTATAAAGATTTTATGAATAAAAAATTATTTCCTCATATTTAAGAATTAGGGAAATATGTATTTTCTTAAAACCAATTGTTATTTATTTAAAAATTTTGTGACTATTTTTATGGAACAGCTTTCTAGCGATTTAAATAATACATATTTTTTAGCTTGGTCTTGAAACAGGAAATGTATTGATAGGAAACAGAAAAGGAAAAACATTACAGGAAAAATTTTCTCAACCATATTATGCATTTCCTGCTCCAGTCAAATCATTAGTGCGGAATCCAAGCAATTTGAAGTGCTTCCTTTGTGTCGGTGGTTACCAGTTTAAGATATTTGCAGAAGATTGTAAAGAATCTTACATCTTTTGGTCACAGTATGTTAACAAATTTGTATATAGCTTGATTAATGCTGAAATTTATATTAATGGCTACAATCTGGCATTAATCTGGTGCCCTCTCCCCTTCCCTAAAAATCCAGTATAGACGAGAAAGCAGTGGAAAAAAAATAATCTTGTTTTGTGACGTAAAAAAATATTTTAAGGTCAACTGTAGATGTTTTTAAAAATAATTATGAGTCAAGATGTGTCAGATATTTCCCTCATCAGATTGTGTAGACTTTAAACATCTTCTTTAATATGGCAGATCTAGAGTAACATTTCAATGAGAAGGTCACAAAAGAAATTTTATTATTTTTCCCCTCAAAGTAATATCAAACTGTATATGAAAACAAACAAAGATATTCAAAACAAAAATGGTTTTGAAAATTTACAAAGGTAGTTATTTTGAAATAAGGCCAACCTAACATAACAAAAGAAAAAGGAAAACAAAATATTATCTTTTTATCCTGCAGGTGCAAAAGAAACAGAACAAAACAGTCATGATTTCTGATTCTTCTGCTGAATGTCTCATTTGAACTTTGAACTACCTTAGAAATAGAGTGACCATAGCCTCAAATGGCCTAGTTGGCCCAGGTGTCTGGGAGGGACCTTTTGGGGGATTAGAGAACAAGCTACCATGACCATTTATAATGGACTGATACTAGGCGTTGCAATGTTCGTGTCTCCCACTTGGTTCAGAAACCCATCACATCGGTTCATTCAGCCGATGACGGATCTGCTCCGAGTCACTAAGTTTAATCGGAGTGGGTCTCATGAGGTGGTGCAGATTTTAGTGGGAGGGTTACATCTCGACCTTTTCCTGTTTGAAGACTAATATGAGGATTTTTTTTAAACAGAAGATTCAATAGAAAATATATATATGGATAAGAATTGTCGAAACCCTACAAAATGGAAAAGGATTAAAGATACAACAAGATACCATTGATGAGTGAAACCAGCAGTGGGTAACAATAGTGAAAGGTTCTACCTTGAAAAAATATATTCCCAGGGTCTTGTCTCAGCTAGAAGCAAAACAGATTATCCTGGACTATTGGGTTTCACAATTCATCACAGAGCATGGGGGTTTTCCATAGCCTAAGAAAGGATAGGGAACTTCGAGGTACTTGGGGCCAAATTACTGAGGGAAACTGGACTCTATGTCTGGGCACAATTTTCCACAGTTGATCACCTTAGAGAACTACCTGTACAACAAATCTTTTGTATACTAGTGGAAAACCGAAGTTGGTCATGCTAGTTTTAAAATAAAAAGAAGAGAGGCATTTTCTGGATGACTGCTGGACAGAGGAGAAGAAGAAGATGGAAGCCAAATGGAAACCAGTACATGATACGTGTACATGTGAGAAATTGTGAAACCCAATAGTCGAGAATAATCTGATTCATTTATAGATAAAGTTTTATCGTTCAAAAACAAGACCTTGGAGTAAATTAAATAAAAAGAATTATCCAATCCACTTTTTAAATTTAAGTAGATCAGCCAACTTTTTCAATCCCTTCAATAACTCATTAACTATGGTAACTATCATAAAGTGTATGAAAATTTACATAACTCTGGTTTGAACATTGGCATGCTTTGGGTTGAATCCATTTGGTAAGTTCTTAAATTTGTCAAATTAAAAAAATAGGTAATAATTATTTTACAGTATAATTTAGAAGCTAGTGCTCTACAGTTCAGTATTGACTTTTTGGCATCAAATTATGTAACTATTTTAATAAATATTACCCATTAATTAATTTTATTATTACCTACCATCTTGTCCAACTTCTTCATTTCTTTATATTTTTTAAAATCTTGATTATTACATATTAACAAATAGGTACCTAATAAAAACTTACATCCTACGTATTTATTTTATTTTAAATTTGAACAATGTGTTTGTTGTATAGAAATATTTGATAGACACAATGTTTTTCTAAATAAATAAATAAAGAAATTGATGTATAAAGATTTTTTATAAATGGCATTTTGGTATATAGTGTTTTATTGTACTTCTTAATCTAACTTCATTATTTACTGCAAGAAAAAGATTAAAAAATAATTATACAAATGAATAGTATTAAAAATCAGATAAATTGAAAAATTCAATTTTTTTTTAGGTCACATAACTGTTGGCTAACAGCAGGAACTTGGTCACCAACAAAGCACTCAGTGTTTTATATTACAAGAAAGGATGGATATTTTGATGTTTGGGATCTCCTACAAAATGTTGAGAAACCAGTTTTAAGTGAAGAAGTAATTATTACCCATTTTCTCGTGCCTTTACACTATAATGTTGTATGAGCTCTATAAACGATAGATTTTTTTAATAACAACAATTATTAATTTTAATGTTTAATTTATAAAAGATAAATTTAATAATGAAAAGCCCACTCTCTATCTACTCTCCCCCAGTAGATCCACCGGTGGTTGCTAGCAGTCTATATTTAAGCCCTTGTATTTTCTGTGATTAGAATAATTCTGCCACTTATTCAAGTCAAGATATTTCCAGTTCGATCCTGATTAATGCTCAAGATCCCAAGATCATTTAACCTTGTAATATTCATCTTACTCCTCAGTTTAAATGAGAAACCTTCCTCTGTCTCCACAATTTAAATTATGTTTTCTTGATTTTTCTTGCAACTCATTAATTGGTGCACTCCTCTGCTCCACGGAGTTTATATACACCGTTGATTTAGACACATATTGCAACAGAGGTAACCTGTAATGAAAATGGTTATTAGAAATGTCTAGAATTAATTGCAGATATTAAATTAATTAACCTATAAAAATTACTTTTATCGCAATAAAATTCGTACCCTAACCCATTACTAGATTATAAAGTTTTAAACAAACTACTATGTGTTCCTGTCCATAATTTTTGAAAATAATCTATCAATCTAATGGAATTATTTTTAGCTCTCAACGAAACCATTGAGGTGTTGTCAAGTTCACGAATCAGGTAAACATATAGCAGCTGCAGGAGATGATGGCACAATTACACTGGTAGAGGTATCATCCCACTTCTATGCACAAGATAAAAATGAAAGAAGTTTAATTGCAGCAGTAAGTATTTTATTGTCAATAAAAATAAACAAGTTAATTCTTCAATGAAAGGTCGTGTATTCAAATGAAGTTCTTTGTTACAATAACATGCAATATGGCAAATCATAATAATACATTCAAGGTGTAACTTTCATAATTTTAGATGTTAGAAAGAGAATCAAAGCGTGAAAAACTGATTGATGCAAGAAACAGAGAAGTTAAACTTCAACAAAGACAGAGAGAGCAGCTAGAATCAATGATTGTGACTGAAACACCAGATGAAAAATTGAAACAAAGAGCTAGAGAAGCTTTTATTAAGTCATTAAATGCTGTAAGTTTTGTTGGTGAAAATTCTAAACATTCAGTCCAACTAATTGAGCTGAAAACTTCTTCAAATACCAAAATTGGAACAAAAAAGTTCAGTAATTTAGACGAGTACTTTTGAAGTATTCAAATATTTCTTTTAAATCTGGAAGAATATAATCTGGATTTCAATCATGTCAAATTATTTTTGAAATTAAAAACAAAAATTGCTTACTGCCCCATTTCAGCAGAAATATTAATTTTTTTAAATCTAATAAATCTTGAGTGTACTCCTTTAAATATAAACACAAACTTCAGACAATTAAAATAAATTATGGCAACTTTCTACACTTTATGCTTTTAGTTTCTCAAGCTGGAAAATAAATTTATTTTTTTCCATATAATTAATATGGAAAGTATATTTAGTTTCTGTGGAAACATTTGTTTCACATTCAATAATATAAAAGTAGACATTATTAACTATAAAAATTAAAATTCATTAGATTTTCATTTCTCTCTATGACCATTAACAACCTTCTATGTTTGATATGTATTTTACTAAATATCATAAATATATATTACTACTCTTATTTTTGTGATCATAATAGTTTCCTTAACTATATATTTCATATATAGGTACAAGAATGAGGGGGGCAGGGTGGTCAAGCAGATTAATGTATGTGCAAAACATGCTTTACTTGGCAATCTGATAAACTAAAGATTACAAGTTTGAATCCTGGAGCGGATGGATTTTAACTCTGGGATTAATCTCCTTGTCTCTTTCCTGACCTGGAAAAAACCCTGTATAGCTGAAAAGACAAGAAAGTAATTAAACATTAAAATATCTTTTTAGTTTAAATACTATGCTACTTTTTTTTTTTTTCCACCCCTTCCTCACCTTTTAGGCTATACGTGGTTTATGGCCAGGCCGGGGGAGAGAGCAGGAGATTAATGGCAAAGTTAAAAGCCCTCTGGCACGGAGACGTGAACTATTAATTATTTTATCGTGTTGCCAGACAAACAAAATGTTAGATTGGTCACCCCATCCCAAAACTATATTATACAATACTATGCTACTTTTTTTTTATTACACCCTATCCATTCTGGCATATGGGAGGATTGTTCTAGAGGTACAACCAAACCTATTCTAACCAGAGAGGGAAGGTCGAGTTTCATTCCGTGGGTCCACCATGAAATGAAAGTCAACCCTTTCCAGGTCGGATTCGAACCAGCTTTGCTAGGCACAAGAATGCTACAACGGACAATGCTCCAACACTCTTGGCCATCAAAACCTCAAAGCTATGCTACTAAATAAAATTTCTGTTTTGAGCTCTAAATACAATAATTGTAATGAATATTGTCTTACATTGCTATAGTTTTTTTCTATTAATCCCATTCAAACATTAAACAGCATTTGGTTTTGAATCTGACTGATGACATGTAATTAATTATTCTGCCTCATCAACCGTGAATCGATCCTTGGATTGGGAGATCCTTCTGAGGCACACCTAGCCTCTATAAAGTAGGTACTCTTAATTTATTAAGGAGGAAAACCTGGTGATTGAGCATGATCTCGGTCAAATCACCTCCTTGCACAACTATCAACCAAGAAACAATACTTCCTTATCTAGCACCGAATCCAAGAGCCTTCACAGGTTATAGTGGTACATTTTTGTTTTTTTGGGTGCTATTTGATGTTTTGTCTAAAATTTACTTTTAATTTCTAATAATAGTTCTGGCCAATCTAAATGTGATACTTCAGCACATATATATATAGCTCATTGCATGTTTACATATGTTCAAGAGTACAATTAAAATTAGAAAGTTGGGGCAGAAACTTTGATTTCATTCTTCAGCTGCTAATATTGTCTACTTCAATCTGTTCTCATAATCCTTATTGCGAATTTAAATAGTTTTAGTATGTTTTATATAATAAAATTTTGATGGTTAACTAAATCAATTTATATGAATCAATATATAGTTATGAATGTTTATGAAAACTAATGCAGTAGTTTTTAAATTTATTAAACTCAAAACAAATTGTTATTTATGTACCATAATGAGTAATTTGATTTTTTTTCACTATTTAGTATGATGCAAAGAAGCATAAACAAGACCATGAAGGAGAGGAAATGGAGAATTAAGTAAAAGTGGAAAAATATATTGTGAAATAATACATATTTTTTTTAAAAACTTTTATTATGTTATTTACAACTGTATTAGTATGAATACATCAAGTAAATGTGTACAGAGAAATATTATCACATGAAACACGCTTGTTGAGAAACTACCCACTGGTAGCACTCTAATAATTTGTCTACATGAGAATATCACGAGGCCATCTTCTTTTCAGACGCCTCGGAGGGTTATCAGGAATAGAAGAGGAAGCAAGGTTAGAGACGAGAGGATTCGGATGGTTCTGAAGTTTATTATGGAAGGATTGGTATCTGGATTGGGCCAAATCGGAAACATAAGGAACATTAAGGTCATTATGGGTTATTTTATTGGTGACAAAGTAAGGAGCATTGAGGATTTTCCGAAGGATTTTGGATTGTAAGGATTGGATACGAGAGGAATTCGATGGCTTAGTGGAGCCCCAAAGCTCAACTCCGTACGTCCAAATAGGTCTTATTGTAGTCATGTATATAAGTCTTTTGTAATTAACTGGAAGCTTAGAGCGTTTGTCTAGTAAGTGTTGGAGTAGTCGGAAACGTCGAGCGGTTTCTTGTCGTTTCAGTCTGGTATGAGGATTCCAAGTTAGACGTTTGTCCAAGTGAAGTCCAAGGTATCGGATTTGTTCAACAGGGATAAGTGGGGTATTATTAAAGGATACTAAGGGACATGAGGTCATAGGTTTACGTCGAAGGGTAAAGGTGATTTGATGGGATTTATTAGAATTTATTTTAATCCTCCAGTTTTGACACCATTCTTCAAGGCTTGTGATGTGTGATTGAAGAGTTTGGGATGCAATGGTTGGGTCATTATTAACGGATAGGAAACATGTATCATCGGCATACGTGGTAATAACAGTGTTAGGATGGGTTGGGATGTCAGCTGTGTAAACTGTGTAAAGGATAGGGCCAAGGATACTACCTTGAGGAACTCCGGCAGATTGAGAAAAGAGGGATGAATAGTTATTATTGTGATTTACTTTGAAGTGCCTATCAGTAAGATAGGAACTGATGATAAGAAAATATGTAGGGGGAAGGAATTTACGGAGTTTGTAAAGCAATCCCAGATGCCAGACTCGATCAAACGCCTGTTCAACGTCGAGAAAAACTCCAGTGCAATACATTCCGTGCTCCAATGCAGAGGAGACGACGTCTACCACACGATGACATTGCTGGATGGTGGAATGGGAATGGGAATAATCCAAATTGGTGATCAGGGATTATGTGGTTAGAATCTAGGATGGGATACAGGCGTTTTAAGATGAGCTTCTCCAGGATTTTGCCCATGATGGGTAAAAGAGAGATTGGACGGTAAGAGGATGGGTATTCTGGTGGCTTTTTGGGTTTATGTATCATTTTGACTACAGATAGTTTCCAGGAAAATATGTGGAACGGAGTAGGGCATTATAAATGTAAGTAAGGAATAGAATGGCTTTTCGAGGAAGTAACTTAAGAATGTGAGAAGTGATTAGGTCGTGGCCAGGAGCTTTGCGGGAGGCTAATCTGTGAATAATATTGGATATTTCTGAAGGATGAAATGCTTTAGCAGGAGGAGTCATTTGGAGTGGAATATCCAGTTCTGTTTCAATACATTCTGATTTGGATTAAGGATATCAGGATGTGGATTAAAAGTTTTGAAGAGGTGATGAGCAAAAATTTGGGATTTTTCTTCATCAGATTTGGACCAAGTTTGAGCTTCAGTAAGAAGTGGATGATTAAAGTCTTTAAATTTCAGTAGCCGTTTAGTCATCGTCCACAGTGATTTGTCGGTAGGTGTAAGTTTTTCAGTAAAATTTAGTAAATTTTGAATTTTGTATTTTCTAATTTCTGATTTTAGTTTGTTAGTCAGTTGGTATAATGAGTTTTATCTGTTGGATATCTAGTTCTATGCCACTTCGATCTTGCTCTGCGTTTTTCCTTTAATAAGATACGAATATGCTATGGCAAGTTAGTCTTTTGTAAATTGTTAATCTTACTGTTAAAGTTGTTACTGTTTATAATGTCTGTTATTGATGTTGTAACTTTTTCTATGGCACCATTAATGTCTTCTTTTGTCTTAAAAGAATTTTCAAGTCTAGTTTGTTTTCCAAGTCATTACGAAAGTTGTCCCAGTTTACTCGTCCTGTAATCAATTTAGGAGATGATGGTTTAGGAGCATAGCTTGAATGTAGTGAAAGTAGCACTGGACTATGGTCTGAAGAAAGGTCATCGAGTGATTTGATTAAGGCTTGTGAGAAGGAAATCTGGGAGGTGATAAATATATCCAGGATATCGGGACGTTTTTTGAGTGATGTTGGCCAATAAGTAGGACTCATGGGCGAGAGGATTGAATAACTGTTGGAAGATGAGATACGGGAAAGGATGTTACCGCGGGAGTTGGATGTTCGACAACCCCATCGTTGGTGTTTAGCATTGTAGTCTCCTCCAGCAATAAAGCTCGATCCGAGGGATTGAAATAAGGAGTCAAGGAGGTTATAGGAGATGGAATTACCAGGAGGACAGTATACAGCTGAGAATGTGAGATGGAAAGGGCGAGTTGAAAGGACTATAGAAGTTGATTGAATGGCATTAGTTGGAGTGGAAGGAATAAGGGAGTGGGATAAAGATTTATGGGTAAGGATGCAGGAACCAGCATGGGAAGTGTTATCTGGGTGGTCAGATCTGTAAGTGATGTAGTCATATATGCAGAAATGTGTCGGTTGAGTGAAGTGAGTTTCCGTCAGAAGGGCAATGTCAATGAGATTGTCATGGAGAAATAAGTCTAGTTCGTCTCGATGGTTGAGTAGTCCATTAGCGTTCCATAAAAGGATAGCTAGGGACTTTGTATTCATCGGGGGAACTTGAACGGGATTTCGGAAAGGAGTCTGGTGAGGAGGGTAATAAGGGGTTTGATAGTCTCTTGAAGATCTATCAGGAATGTTGAAAGGACAGAATTGATGTCGAAAGGTTTTTGGCTGTTGAGTGTGTGATTTAGGTCAGGAGGATCTGATGGGTAATTTGTGCGACTAGGATTGCTGGAAGGGGGATGTGCCCAATGTGGAATGTGAGGAGTTGGATCTATTTTCTGTTGGACTTGTGATGGGAGGTTTACATTGGGATTAGGAACGGATGGAACTGGGTGTGGATGCTCTGGCGGGAGTTTGACCCTTAAGGGTAGATGGTGAAGAGGGATTTGTGGACGAGGAGGTTGAGGCTGAGGTTTAGCAGTTTTAGGCTTGGATTGGGAAACCTGAGGCGCCTGTCGTCGAGGCTGCTGGTTCTTGATGATGGTTTGGAGATATAAATTTTTCGAACCCTGTTGAGGATAGTCCGTAGCTGTGGAGATGGGTGGTTGAGGCTGGATGACTTGAGAAAGTGACGACGGCAGTGCTGGGAAATTTGTTCTATCATCGATTGCAGGAGCCTCAGTCCTACTTTTATGATCAAGGCTAAGGCTTTTCAAAGCCATATTATGTGATCTCAGCTTCAGAAGATTTTTATAAACTACGCAACCAAATGATAAATTAATTCAAATATTTCAAAGATGACTTCTCTATCATTTCACCTGATAAAATGTTTAATTGAGTCAAATAAATTATTTTTCGTGTTGGTTTATATGTGAAAATAATGTGGTTATATATTACACAGTGAACCATAGAGCATAGAGTATTTTTTATTTCATGAATTTTTCCAAGGTGTCAATGGTAAAGACTTAGTACAAAACTAAATACAAAACAAATGATTGTATAGAGACTCTATACAATCATTATATAGAGATTCTCTATTAGAGAGAAACATATAAAGAATGTTTATATGGAAATATATACAAGTATATAAACAGTCTAGAGGCTTTTTGTGTCTACGCACTTGAATGATTTGTTCCTCATTTGTTGTGCCTGAAGCTGAAGTTCCTTATTTCCTAAGAAATATATTATAATAAATATAAAATAAATAATAATGGGAATAATAGTAAATTATAACAGAAAACTATTTTTTTCAAAGACTAAAGAAAAATCTTCTCAATAAGAAGAAAAATAATACTTATATGTATGTAGCGAATATCTCTTAAATTTCTTTAAAATAGTATCTTAAAATCTGTACTGATCTAATTAAATCTAAAAAATTTCTGATTTATAAATTCAAATATGACATTGTTAATATATCTTTTAAACGAAAATATAATGATATTTAATTTTTGGTAAATTTGCATATCATTTACTTTTAATTAAAAATACATTTTAAAAAAATATCTAACTGCACAGTTGGATATTTAGTAATGGAGAGGAACCCTTATAGTTTTATTTCAAAATTTAAACAATGAGAATTGTCCACTTTATGTATTATTATTGACTGCATGGTATACAGGTGTTTTATTATCTTGGATATTACTAATTAATGTTTCCTAGTCAAATGTGCGGACATTTTGAAAATTTTACTCTTTTTTTCTTAATAAAAGGTTTAATTAAATCGATTTACTTATGCATTTAATTTAGCTCAAAAGTTCCATTATATAAATAGGCAAAAGCAAAACAGCTCAGTCCCTTTTTTTGCTCTGTTTCTCATCTGATTTTATTTTTTTAGCAATTGACAAAGTTTAGCGTTAACAATAAAAAATAAGTGTATATAAATAAACTGCTAATCACCGACAGTTATTCATCGATTGCTTTGAAATTTTCATACAACATTGCAATCAAATTCAGGAGTGTTTTATAACCTGTTCCTACAATATAACCTGTGTTACTATAGACTTCAGCTCCAAACCAGCTCTTACAATTTTAATGGAACTTGGCTAAAGTCTTCTTGGAGCCTTTTTATTTTGTGTATGTAATATGATTTCCCTAAATCAAGGTGCAAAAAATGTTACGATGTATTCAGAATTTTATTCATGAATAACTCAAAAAGTATACAATTTTTGGTTCATTAAACCAACGATTATTTGAAAACTTCCAGAATTTCCTACAAAGTGGAAAAAATTCTATAAGAACCATGTCTGATAAGATATTTTGATTACATTTATTTTTAAAATGTTTCTAGTTTATATTTTTTAG